CCCCCCCCCCCCCCCATCCTTGGCCCTGGGACAGTGGGGAATAGGCTGGCAGGGGAGGGGGCTTGCATTTGAAGGGGAAGAGGAAAGGAAAGGAGCATTTTCGCATGCTTTAGGGACTTTAAAAAGTCTGCAGATGCTCCTGTGGTTCTGCCCAATCCAAAACAGGATTGCAGCTGTGCCACTGCACCCTCTTTGGTTCTGCCCCTGTTCATAGTATATAGTGCATGGGCTTTGAGTTCTGTCATGTCCTTTTCTACCTTATACCCTTGCTCAGCCCAAGAGATTTTGATGTATATATAACATACCACTGATGGTTTCAACACATTTTGGTTTTGGAATCCACTGAAAACACTTTTCACGTGTGCTGTTTTTTAATTACAAAGACCATGCCAGTGTAACTGAGATCTAAAAATTAGTGAAGGTGTATGATACTAAAAATCTGCATCTCAATGGAAACTTTCTCCCTCCCTTCCCCCTGCCAAGGTACGGAAGTTGCAAAGAGCTCGGAGGAAACAAAAACCTTTACAGACCCAGATGCATCAGGTGTATAGAACAAGCTCAAGAAGATCTGCATATGCCTTTTCTCATCAAGAGGGCTTCGGGGAGCTCATAACATCTGGAAGGAATATGCGAGTCAGAAATTTGCGTCCAACATCAGGACAATACATGATAGCACCAGTTGGATTGAAAACTGGCATAAGAAAACAGGAGAGACAATGAACAATTTCAGTAATGACAGACCCATGAACCTGTAGGTCAAGCTGAACACAAAGCAGTTTAATGCTTTTTAAAAATGTGGCCGTCTCTGTATACTGTTTGCCACTTTGCAAGCATTAAGCTAGGAATACCTGTGTGAGATGAGGACTACAGAGAAGGTGACCAGTGCATCAAATTTAACAGCATGTTCAAGAATGTTGGAAACACAGGAATATTTTCAGTCTCTTTTCATTTCTGAAAATAATTCACCATCACATGACTACTTACTTGGTACAAGAGGTAAAGTACTCTCTATTAAGATAAGTGTAAGCATTTTCCCTCCAACTTCAAGGTAAATGCAATATTTAAATATTTTAATCAGCTGTACAGTCCAAGGTAACTATTAGATGTAGTTGCGGTGTAGGGGCATTTCATATATATTGTCAATAATGACTTTGTATTGATGCAGTCAGGGGCATTATAAAAATTTGTTAGCACAAAATTAATTTTGAAAGTCATTGCACAACTTTAAAACCAACGTGTTTAAAACAATTTAAATCTATGAAGTTCAAAGTTAAATGTTATCAATGTGTACAGCCCTTTCAAATACTTTTAAACATATAAAACTGAGTTTTTAAATTATTGATAAATTGAAACCAGACAAAGCACTGTATTATATTTTATCCTTGTTTCCATTATTTTCATTCCTTTTTATTTGTCTTCTGTTTAATACCACAGTTCATTGTTTGAAATTGCTACCTGGCTCTTTCCTGTTGAAATATGATGGGTCTTTTCCTCTTCTCTGCTATAACTCAGGAGTGACTTTAGAGAATTCATTAAAATGACACAAACGGACAGGAGGGGAGGATCAGAACCAGTTTTTCTTTCATTTCTTTTAGCACCCTGCAGGGTGCAACTTTCTTACAGTTTTAAACAGAAGACCACAACAAGAAGAAGCTTCATTACAATGTATGTGGAATCCAGGAAATCTTCTTTATAATTCTTTTGTCAGAAATCTCAATGAAATCTGTACTTTACAGTGCAAGTTACTGGGGTTATATGCCTATAAAAATGTTCTTAGTAAGGTTAGTCAATACTTGCTTGCATTGTCAAGAATTGCACTTTGCTACTCATCTGCTGAATATGCTTGCATAATATAGAAATGTTCCTCCATTTAAGGAAAGTAGACCCAGCACTAGACAATAGTTACTGTTACGCCACTGAATGCCTTAGACCACAAATATCAGTAGGTTTTCAGTCCTATCTGGTATCATTTATCTCAATATATGCTGAGAGATTGCGAGCAGCGTTGAATATATGAGGCAGTGCATAGATCCAGGACATGCTTTATATAACAGAAGTCCAAACTGAGCTGATTCAAATTGCAAGCTTTTCTTGCCACTGTGAAACCTTTGGAATAACCTGAACCAATGAGGGAGCAGATGAGGTGTTCCAGACCAGAAAATGATCGTATGATCTTCCACCCCTTTCTGTGTTTCACTGGCCAAACATCTTCCTTCTGGCTTATATTAGCTTTGGTAGATAAGATGCTGCCTCAGTTTTTTACACTGGAGTTGTTACATTGAGGAATGCAATGAGGATGTGGGGTTCACCAGTTTTTCTGTTATCTGTGATTGTGGCTATGAACTACAAGCTAGTTAACACCTTTTGGATACTACGTCCTTGTAGTGGAATGCTCTGAAGCAAGCTGTCCAGGTATAATAATGAACCATATCACTTACAAAGAGGTAGCAAATAGTGGTTTGGGAATTCAAGATGATGGGGTAGCTTCTTTGGACCTTAGATTCTTTATGATGGAAGTTTCAGGACTCTAAGGGTTTTATAGTATAGAAATTGAGACCATATATTTGTCATAACTGTAAAGATTCCACTGTAGGATTTCAAACCACCTTTTTTTCACAGAGTACCCAGGCGTTTTGTTGGGCTCCATCCACAGCATGCATGTATCAGTAGCTTGTTCCAAACTCACAGTTTAAGTAAGTTACACAAGAAGGAAAAGCCTTGAAACTATGAACTTCCACTTAACTGTTCTTCCTGGAGGGTTGAAGACTACATTTATAGTAGCTTGTTTGCATGATTTGGGTAAGTATACTAAGAGGGAACCCTGGTTCATGAACGCTGCCCCCCCCCCCGAGTTTTAATGCTATTTAACACAATTGAAAGGTAGAAATGTGGAGAAGACACCTTCAGCTAACTTTTAGAAAAAGACAATTCTTTTATGCCTTGTATGTCCTTCTGTTGAAAATATATCCTCACCAAATGATCCAGTGTGATACCAGCAAAGGAAAACTAAATTGTATTATTGCAAAATATAAAAAGAATAAACATTTGAAGAGTAAAATAGGCAGCAGAGCCTGTACCAAATGATTCATTTTTTAAATATATATGAGATGAATTAGAAAGATAGAAATCCTACATAATTACAGACACCTAATACAAAATATTAACTTTGCAACAAATGTAACATATATCTCTCTGCACAGAAAAGTAAGTGCATCTAAATCTGCATTAATTTATACCCAGTGTAATCCTGTCCAAGGTCAACTGATTGAATAAATTACTTAGAAATTTGATGAATTAGCTTTTGAATGGTATCAAACCCAATATTTTAGTGAAATGCCTTGGAACATATGCAGCATAATCAACGCAGTCTACAGATAACAAGAGAGAATAATGAGGAGGTCTTCATGTTTCTTATTTGTATATCAGTAACTGCCTTTTTTGGCTTCTGTCAAGTAAATAAAGAACACTTCAAAATTCCAAATGTTTTGCAAAATGAAAGTGCATGACCAATATGTTAAGTAATATAAGCTGCAAGTTATTTTAAAATTATAGCCATGATTAATATATAATAACATATTTATTCTACCTGCAAGAATGGGCCATAGAGAATACAAGCATGTTGAAATGCTGACAAGTGTTTGGTGATTACATTATACTAACATAACAAATTATTCCAGCATTGATGAAAAATATTTTTTTGTACTTTCAAAAGAAAAATAGGTTTCAGTGTTAAATTTTGTGTGTTTAAGTTCCATGCGGGAAAGACCAGGTTGATTTCTTGGTGAGTTTTTTTTTTCTATTAAGCACTTCTCTGGCAAATCTGTTGCTAATAGCTTGATTTATCCAGTGAACATACACAGTTGAACAAGTGTGGTTTTGAATTAGCAAGATATTCTGCAAGTGTATCAGGGTGACAACTATCTCTGGGAATCCACAACTTGATTTATTTGACAAGACAGTGGACCTGTTTCATTTGTTTTACTCCAGGGACTTGATACAATTATACACATTTGTGCCAAGGCTGAATTTGTCCTGGTGCATTTTGCTTTGTATAAAAGTTACATGTTTGGTAACGGGTTATTTTTAAACTGTAAGTGTACAACTGTCATACAAAGCTGTTTGATGACTTTGTAAGATAACAAAAATGTTGCATTTTTACACATAGTTCCATAACTTATTTAAATTATGAACATATTTGATATTTTTAAAATATACCATTTATAAGTATAAAAATATCTTTGGTGTGTTTTTTATGCCTTTGTAAAAATTTTGTGTGTAAGTGATTAGAGCATCTCAGAATGTATTACCAGAGCCTTTGATGACATGGTTCTATGAACTATAAGAATGCTTTAAAAATTAAATAAGTTCACCCAAAAAAGTGAAAGATGTTGACATTCAAATGAATTTTGATGATCTTCAGGTGCATCCATCTAAAACACAAGTTACTCTTCTTCCAAAAAGAGTAAACTGTTATATTAGATAAGTTTCCAATTGCATTTTTGTTTATATGAACTCTTGTTATATTGGTAATGGACTTCTCAGTACTATACTTAGGTTGAAAGAAAATACTTTGTAAGGCTACCCTGAGAAAACAAGAATTATCCCTCTGTCACCTACCACAATGATTACAGTCAAACAAATGCCTGGTTAGGAAAATGACCCAAGGCTAGGAAACTCATAATTTAATGATCATCATTCTGCAGTTGAAATATCTTGAGGCAAGCAGACTGTGGGTTTTAGCTTGGCTATTGGTTTACTGGTTCATGAAGCAGATCAATCTGTTACAAAAAGCCAAAAAAAAAAATCCCTTATCGGACTCCAGGAGGGAGGAAGAAGGGAAGAGGAAGATTTTCACAGTAGAGCATGGTGGCCCACCCCTCCCCCCATGCCTCTGATTGGCCGAGGGGCTCTGGAAGTCCCATTTCTCCCCAGAGATTGAAACATGGCCATCTGTCAATCTCTGTGAAGGAGCAGGACTTTCAGGGCTCCTCAGCCCATCAGAGGCATGGGGAGCCCCCACTGTACTCTGCTACAAAAATGGCAACTGGTACTGTGCAGGATTGCAGAATCTGGAGGCAGCTGCCATGAATTAAGTAGGTCCTTAGATATGAGTCATGAAATAGTGATATCAGATGTCACTTGGGGAGTAACCCTTCTCTCTCTTTACAATAAGGTGTTGAAAGTAACTTTCAGGTAATCCCACTCATCTTGTATAAAGTTTTAAAGACATTGTTTTGCTTTTATTCCAGTCAGAAAACAGATGCTGAAATGCTATTACATATTAAGACACAATGTGAAAGCCAGATAATGAACACATTTAAGTCATATCTTATGTGCTTCATATCAGACAGCAGGTGTGGAATTAATATGGAACTAGAGAAGGGTTCAGACCAAACACTCTCCAATTACTGGTAAGTTTATATCTAGATTTGAGCTTTACAGTTCTAGTCCAAGTCTGTGTAAAATAAGGTTAGATTGTTGAGCACTATTGTCAGTGCTACAATTCATAGCTCTAGATGCATACTAGGCCAGATGGTATACTACACTAACAAAGTCTAGAAGAGTGCAAGAAACTATAATATTGCGCTGATCTATCGGTATAAATACTTCAGTTTCACAGCCAACTGCAGAGCTTTTTAGGTGGATGATTAAGAATCAATCAACTATAACACAATTATAAATTATTTCATATAGTCTTACAGATAACATGCATCTTTTTTCTAAAAACCAGCTGCTGGAATTGGGGTAGGCATTACAACTGAGGAAATATGGTAGCAGCAGTTTCTGCTGCTTAAGCTTCTGCTGAGCAAAAACAAAAGTAATTTATCTCCCAATCCACAAGAAGCAGAACAGTGAGCTGGCTTGGCACTCTAACAGCTGCTACTAAGTTACTTACCACAAGGGAGGTTTGTGTTTTTTTTCTTCAGGTTGCCTTTTAAAAACAATGTACATGTCTTACTCCAGGGTGTGATATATGCAAGAAAATATGGTGATAATTCCTCTAAGTAACACTAAAATTACATAAATTCTAGCAGTCCTGCAAATAAAATTACAATCTTGACTGAAGTACCAAGGCCAGAAGGAACAACATGCAAGTGGTGTGGGCTAAGCTCAATTTTGCTGTAATGGAGTAGATTTGAATACTCCATTGAAATATATGGAGTTACACCAATTAGTGGTTGTGTAAATGAGAGGTGGCAAAAAGTTGAGTTTCTAACACTATGTAGTAAGAAAATATGGTGTAGGGACCAATAGTACACTGGCTGTACTACTAGGCTTTAAGACAAAAATTAAAACCCTTAGATACAGCACATGGAAACAAGAAAGGGCAGCAGAAGATCAGTTTCTTGGCATAAAATCATCCACATGAGAAAATAATATAAAAAACTGCCCCGCCTATATTTTACCTACTGGTGACTAGTCTTCCTGCCTGAATCAAAAATGACCTCGGATTAGGACACTAACCAAACTGTTACATTTTAGTTTTTGTCTGTGAATTAAATTGATTTGTTTTTACACGCACATTTTTACTCCAGTCAAGCAAGAAAGAGATCATGTGTCAAACAAAATCTCTAAAATAATTATATAGTTTGTATGAGATATGGAAAGTACAAAAATGATTCTTTGAATATAAAAATAATTTCCTATTAAATATTTTGCTATTCATGGAATTATATGAGCAGCTATTTAAAAGTTTAAAAACTTTATCCATTGGTTAATGGTTCTTCTAGGTTGTGTTTTAAATTAAACTGTGCAAAAATACAATCTGATAACATTATTCTGCTATAATTATTAGTTTTTTTGGCTTAGTCTCTCATTCTGTAATTCTCATGTTAAAAATGTGTCAATCAATCCACAGAGTTATAGGAAGGAAAGTAGAAATGAAAACTGAATTTATAGTAGGTCTGTTGATTAGAGGTGCACTAATACATCAGTCCATATCATATTGGCACCTATAAAAGGAAATTTGACATTATCGGCAGTTGGCTTTTCTTGGCTGATGTGAACGATAATGTCACTAATGCTGTGTGCATGTGTGTAGTCACAGCAGACGCACGGCCCGCCATGCAGTTTGGAGAGCAGTGTCCAGCTGGTAAGTCTGTTGGGAGGAAGGGGCAGAGGGGAGGGAAGGGGCATGGGGGTGCTGATCAAGGCCCCCATTGTGAGGGAGGGACTGGGGCTGGGGCAGGGTGCAGAACGGCTTGTCTGGTGGGTGTGGTGAGGGGGAGCAGCTCCCTCTGCTGCGCACACCCCCGGGGGAGGTATTGGGGGCATGTACCCCCTGGACCTGTGCATGGGGCAAGGGCAGGGTGCCGCTGCCGGCTGGGGGCAGTGCTGGCTTCTTCTTAGCAGGAGAGGGTTGGGCCAGGGCTGCACTTGGGGCAGGCAGTGGCAGTGCCACCCCAGAATTCTCCATAGGCCCCTCAAAGCTCTCCCTCCCA